TTGTAACGTCGTCAGAAGGTAGCGTGAAAATAATACATAACAGCAAGGTTGTGGGAGTAAAAAAAATACTTTTAATTTTTTTTCCAATAGGATAATCGTTTTAAGTTAGATTGTGAAGATAATAGTTTCCGTGCCTATAGCCAGTATGGTAGCCCCGTTTTGAAATCGCTCACTCCACAGCTTGTCTCGGTCCAGTCCGCAAGGCGTTGTTTCTCATCCGCGTTTTGGATTCATGATCAGCATCACGGATCAAAACTCTGGGATTCTCCTTTCCGCTTCCTAAAACGACCAGCTCTCGTCTTTTCCGATCTCTTTTCCTTTTTTTCTCTCGTTCTCCTCTTCCTGCTTTCTTTTCGTTTTTTCCAACCTTTTAAAACATCAGGGACAGTCCATTTCTCCCCCCTCACGTCTTCTCATTGGTGGGCCCATATGAGTCGATCCTTTAACCTCAACTCATTAGAGCCCATTGGTCCATAATCCGCCAATCATCCACTCACCCGGTTTCTTCACAAACCAGAAGGTGTCCGACACATGCTCCGACGGCCGAGCCCCTTCGGCCCACTGTCGTCGTTTTACCGCATTTGAGGACAATTCGCCATTGTGTATGTAAGGCGAAAGTCCGCTGCCCCGGAAGCGATTTCGTCCACAGTAGAATGGTCAGACAATTGTTGGTCTAGTCTAACTGGCACCAAAGTCCAGACGCTACATAAGCGATAATGAACCCCAGCTGCACGTGCACCTAAAACTCTGTCTAGTATTGTCCTGAAATAGTATTGTCCTGAAAGAGTGAAACTCGTTTCGAAAGGAGAACGTCACAGTGTATGTTTGAGAAGTTTTTTTATTTTCTACAAATTTTGTATCAATACTTATGGTTTTTAAATGTATAATATTAACCCTTCCTTTACCTATGGCTCAGAGTATAGGCAAATTACAAGTGTTGGTTGTCTAGTCCTATAACTCTGTTTAAACGTGCAATCTTTGTTCCCCAAACCATGAGATTACTATTGTACTACCATGGCTAATATTCCCTACGGTCTTGACCAGCTATACTTAGGTTTTATCGCTATTTGTATATATATATATATATATATATATATATATATATATATATATATATATATATATATATATATATATATATATATATATACCTGGTGTTCATAATTAAACGACCCTACTTCAAAATTGTGTTGCAGACGAAACTATTGTTCAGAAAGTTTAAAAATTCTGCATACGAGAACAGATTTTGAGTCTCCAAATCATGTGGAAGCAATTCCTGCACAAGTTGAAGCTTGTACGGATAGTAAATGGGAATGTTTCGCATGATCTTCTGGACAGTTGAATGAGGCAGATTCAATGCTTCTTCCACACGGCGAACACTTGTACTAGCCTGCAAGTTGGATGTTTTGTCGTATTCCACCTGAAGTGCAACTTTCTCTATTGCTTCCGTAGAAACAGGTTTTCTTCCTCTTCCAGGAAAAACACTCAACGATCATGTTTCTTCAAATTTGGTTACCATTAATTGAAGATTTTTAGCAGCAATGGAGCTTTCCAATCCCGTTTAAAATACAAAATTTCCGTAGAGCAACTATTGCGGAATTATCGTTTTAATAGAACAACTTTACTAACAACACTCGATCTGGTAAACGTACTGACATTCTGATTAGCAATACCGAGCACACTGAAAATAAACTAATATTCAATGAAAGTGTATTGCTTTTATAACAGTTGCTGTGCGACGTCAAAAAAATTTGAATATTTTCGTCTTTCTTCGTGTAAATACTTTAAGAAAGAAGTTTAATCAAAGAAGTTTAATCAAGTCATCAAAGAAGTTTAACTAAAGTTTGCATCTCATTTTAGAGATTGTATTTTTTAATGAGTATCAGTTATTGTGTTACCATGTCCTGTGGATAAAAAAGCGATACAATACAAATAGAAAACCGGTAATAAATGTGGCCTTCATTTAAAAGCGCCTTCTACTGGCGACATTTTGAACTAATACGTTTTATTCGCTCAATTTCCTATCCCTTATTTATGTCGTACACAGAATTTTATAACTTTCTGAACAATAGTTTCGTCGGTAGACAATTTTGAAGTAGGGTCATTTAATTATGGCCACCTGGTATATAAATAAGTTTAGAGTGTATGATTATCGTTATATAGAGGGTGGCCCCAAATTCCTGGTAAAAACTTCAAGAGTACTTACAGGACATTGTAACAGTCATTTATTGTTACCTCTCGCTAAATCAAAGTATCTCAGTCCCAAAAACAAATCTTTATATTTCCACCTGGAATAATACATTTTGGTACACTCAATATTTCGATGTAAAATTTGTGGCTGGCCAAGCTACAACACGCGATAATTCAAAGTAACATTACAAAATTCTCGAAAATTCGAACATTCACTGCCATGTAGAGTCCTGTAGCAAACAAGAGGGAGCTTAAATGTGTTGTGTTGCAATGTCTCTGCGTGTCTCTCTCTAAGGTAGCATCTTTGATGACCATCTGTCTGCTATCCCTTCTTTGTATTTCATGGTTCCTCAGGCGAAAAGATACTCTTATTGCTTTTCTTCTTCAAAAGTGGATAATAGACCAACCGCACCATTTGTAAGCTATCCATATCTTTAGCTAAAACACGTGGCATTTGTACACATGTGTTTAGAAAGGATGGTCTGCTATTATGAAGAAGAGACGCGTAGAATAGTATAATTTCCATCAGACTGACATTACGCCTTTTGCCTCATTTTGTGTGACTTATATCATGTGGCACCAAATAGAGCATGGAACGGATGGGCACTGCTTTGTAGAACAAATGGCTTATGGGACAGTGTCTGCGGGAACCGGGTGAGAACCGATATTATTTCCAAGGAGGAATTTAGGAGATTTGGAGGATCGTGTAGGAGTCCTGTTCGAATAATGGGGTGGTAAATGAAAGGAGAGAAGCGATAAATAAAAACGATAAAAAAACTGGTAGAATTTTAACGGACTACTTAGGTGAGAAGAGCCTACCCAACGTCGATACTATTAGGTATACTCCGTAGCTGAGTGGGAAACTATTCTTTTCTTTTAATAATTATTCTTTTAATATTTCGTTTTAATAAATAAATGTATTCTTTTAATACAAGACTTTTAACTTCTGAATAATATTTATACCGTACAACATGTACATTTTAAAAACTCTTTAAAATAACTTTATACTTATGTACACAATTGTTGTGTTATATTACATAGTTTCAAAGTTAAATGCGTAAGGAAAAAAAATCCCTTCGTGTATTTTGTTTTTTGAAAGTTGTTTCCTACTTGCTTGATAATTCGAAGTTTTTAATTGGTTCCTTCGAATTATAGAGTGTCGACTGTATGTATATACATACATACTTCACTTTTCCTTGCAGGTAGATACTCAAAATATTTTATTTTAATATTGTATCAGAGAAAAATGCAAAGTTTCTGCAAAATACTTCATCTAATAAATCACACATAATTCTTGTTCTTGAAAAAGCGAAAAGTTCGTCGTCGTAAAAAATTAAAACTTTTTATCAAAACATGTTGATATCCAACGGGCCTTGGAAAGGTCGTAAGGTTTGTCAACGAGCGTCATTTTTAGTACATAATTGTCGTATCTCAACCAATAGAAACGTATGATAAAACACTTTCCTTATTTCAAATGTCATTTGTGCAGAAAAAATAATACTTTTTAACACACATGGAGTCAGAAACAACATTAATAATAGGAACACAGATTTTGTGAAGAGATCATATAACATGTCGGGAGTGTTTGCGTGTTGCAATACATCTCGTTCTAACATTTGAAATGTTCAATTGGCTATTCCCACAAGTAGTCTTTAAAACATACACATTCATGGCGTTCTTTATTTAATTCCATTGATTTGTAAATAGTTGTAATCTATATAATTAAATATTAATTAATACAAGTGCTAACTTTTTTGAAGTCCGTAGAAGAAACTCATGGATGTTCCATGTTGTCTCAAGGTCACACGTTCCTCACCTTTGTTCTATAGCATACATATAGATGCACCAAACAGAAATTCTAGGAATTGGACGAAATTGCATAAACACGCAACTTACGATAGAATAAATAAATTATTAACTATTAGTGGGATGTAACTCATTAGCAAGGATTATTGAGCATTGCATCAGGGCATGCCGACGTTGAATAACACGAAGAACATTCCAATGTTAAGACATCTTCCATGCCAATGTGAATTCGTTGATTCCTGTGTACTGTAGCAAAACTTCTCAGACGGGTGTGTGAAATGTATGAGCATATGTCACCACATGAGAAAAAAATTGGAATTGGATTAATGAATTGGATTCAAGCTGAGGCTGACGCTACCATTTTATTATGTTGAGAGAAATGGAAGAAACAAGGACTTTCAAATCATCAAGAACTTAGCGACCAAACGAGACCAATGTGAGAAGATAAGGAATATTCGATTGGCATTGATAGACCGGTAAACGGGAAACCAATGAATATAATGACCACAAATAGGCAATACAGCAACAGGTGGCTGAGATCATAGCTGCCTTTGTGACGACTGATTTCCATCAGTGTCCATTGTTTGGCGCAGAAATGCTACACAATTCCTTTATAGTAGGTGACTACAGTTTATTAGATGAAACTGAGCATTGCCAATATTAATTTTGTAACCTAATCAACCTTAAAAGTTTCGTATGGAGCCCATTTGGCCACAATAAACCAATATTTCATTTCCGATTCATACAATTAGCTTACACTCTCTCTCTATATATTTATTTATATAAATATATATCTTGTTCAAATTTTCAATTGTTAATAAAATATTTTTTATTCATCCACTTAAGTTCCAATGCATTTTTTAAAAACTCATATCTTATAACCTTTGATGTTAATACAGTTTTCTTAAATGCAAATTCATTAATTAAATTTAATTAATAAATAAAAATAAAGACAGACAAATAATAGTCCAATACCATATATAAAAAGGAAAATCGCTCATTATGTCCCTGTAACGCAATAGATAGCGCTTTGGACTTTCAATCCAAATGTAGTGGGTTTGAATCCTACCTGGGATGGCCTAATTTCTGTGAATGTGATCTCTTTTTACTATACTATTTTATATTGGAATAATTAAATTCAACTAATGAATACATAGTAACAAACAAAAACAATAGTTCAACACCCTATATCAGAAGGAAAATAGAAAACTGCATGGAGAATCACTTTCTCTTTTGTCACTGAATATTGTGACTCTGTCATATATATATATATATATATATATATATATATATATATATATTAATTGTAATTCTTTTACAAAGACTAACTAAAATAAATTTTTTCTTTGTTGGCCTACGTAGGAATTGGCTTTAAACATTTTCTTATATTACTTTTATAAGCTATTCTTATGTGGATTTAGTTATTTATTTAGAAATATTGTCCGGATGAAATATTCTTTTGATATCACCTAATAATAAGCAATACATTCTCAGAAGACCATACAGCATAGCTTGATATTCGGCAGATTCTATAAGTTCCAAAATTAACGGCAAATCGCACAATTCACTAAGAATAAGGACACCCGAAGCCATTAAGTTATAAATTCTCTTCCCCTTTGTCAAGTGAATCATTCTCTCTTTTAATTCCAAAATTTTTTGAAGACATTTAGACCGGCAAGGTTAACTTTCTTTTTATTTCCATCATAAACCATAATTTGTTTCAACTTCTAGCTCCAAAAGATGTGACATATTAACACATCTGTGTCTCTTTTTACTGGTGTTTCAATATTTATAACTCAGATTTTTTTTTAATTTTCATAAATATTGTATTAGCAATTAATTTAAGAATTTTGAAAGATGTGACATATGAAGTCTTTTTGCTAAAACGTTTTGAAATTTAATGAATCCTAAGGCTTTGATTGTTTCAAATCGATTGAAAACCTTTATTTCTTGCTTTATTTTACTTGATTCATTTTTTTTTCTAATTTTGACATTCTCCTGTCAGATTTAAACAGCTTCTTTAATTAACAGTTTTCCTTTCAAAATTAATAGTTTTCTTAAAAAATACAATTACACTCATTTAGGTAACTATTTACAACGCTAAATCTTCAAAAAATTGACAGGATTGAATTTGTACTTACGCTTTTGAGGTATTACGTATAAGAAATTCCAATGGTTGCGTTTTATAACTGTCATATAATAAACAATGTTCACCGTGACCCAGAAATCGTGGTTGTGAGAGGGTTCGAGGAAGAGAAAAACTCACATTATCTCTTAGAATAACTAATTTTATTCAACTTTTAACACTATATGAATGTTAATAACTAACCTCGAGGACACTTTTATAACTAAACTCGAGGAGCAATAAGAAAACTTAACCCGAATTTATATAATGAAATGCATGGGAGGTATTTATCTTTCTTAAATCTCTTATATTATCCGGCTTTCAATCTGCTAGCAAGTTCAGATGTTAGGTGTATACCTTCTACTGAGTGAGTAAATATTAACGTCGCACAGTTCAGCTATAAGAGAACTTTGTTGACGGAACACGTAATTTTGAAAAATAGTCAAGTGACGTGGACGACATTTGAGATGGCACCCCCTCTCCTAACTCCCACACCACACCAACGGAAGGACGTTTCAGTTCTCGACTGATTTAACGTGCATCTCTGCCCTACACGGCAGATATTTAGTGGTACTAGGCTCGAATTCATAACATGTCTACCATGATCCGATACTTTGACCACTGAGCTAACGCAGCCCTTATGCCCTTTATTATTCCTGTGGATACTTTTTTCTGGTATCTATCTTACGACGCACGACCACCAGTCAACAACACTTGAATTTAAGCTTACTATCAACTCTTAACCATTACCTCGCCTACTCAACGACTAACACTTATAGTTTGCATTTGCAAAAATCAAGTTTTCTCTACGGAAAGCGGTTTTTAAACTAATATCACAGCTAAAAATAATACTTGTCCCAAGAGCATTAGACGAAGCTCGAACAGAACCTCTTACATTGTGATAAATTTCAAAGTTGTACCTATAATTTCTTAGCATTCACCTTATTAAGCTTAGAAACAATGAGTATATTATATTAAAATGTAAACTAATTTTTAAAATTGCAATTAGTACAAAAAGTAGCACAGTATTTTTGTAGAATCAGTTATAAATACATAATTGAAATTTGCATATTATGTTAGCTTCAGAAATGTATCGAGTTTTCAGTGGCTTTATGACTTTTTCCTCATCATGATTTACAAATGAATATTAAGCCTCAACTCTTAATTGTAAGTGCAAATTTTGACATTTGTTTTCGTAGTTATTCAATTTCTATACATTTTTCAGTACATAAATTATTAATTCTCACTAAACCCAATAAACAATAAAAAATGCAGTACGGTCTCATAAAAACATAAATTTAAAATATATAAATAAAAGTGCAACATTATAATGTTTGTGTTAAAAGCAATTTAAGGCTACACAGTACCCTAAAAATTTCATTTTTACCGAAAATTTTTTTTTGCATGTATTGGTGGCCCATATCATTGAGATGCTTGCTACGAAATTTCAGATCTGTTAGCAAATTAGTTTTTAAGATTTTGTAAGTTTTATGAGCTATGGTTTTGGTTTCGGATTCCTTTTAAAGCATTTTTTTGCAATTAAGTTGAATTAATTAAAAATATTTTTGAGCTTTCAGTTTGAAATAGTTATTAATTCCAATTTCCATTACTAAAATAATTTTTGCTTGATTATGTTTTGAGTTTTTTGAGTTCTCATAATTAATTAATAAAGATTAATTTCATGGCCAATTTTTGATTTAAAAATAGTTTATATAACTTAAAAGCTTTATCATTAATTTTTTCCTGTAGAGAAAATGCTATGGTAAATCCGTTCTGGGTTTCTGTCAGAAACAATATTTCGAAGGGATGGAATACTACTGAAAATGATGTATCTAAAAATCAGTCCTCAGCTGATTCTGCAATTAGACTTCCGAATACAAGTATTTTGAATTCAAATTCTGGAGATATAACTGAATATTTCTTGAAGTATACCAAACTGCATTATACTAAACATATTGTAGTACTATATTTTAGTATTTTAAAGTCGTACGACAAGAACTAAAACTTCCTAAACTAGCCCAATTTAAAACTGAAAAAAATTAAATTTTATGAGCGAACTTGACTATTTTTAGCTGAAGTTAGTATCATTATTATTTTGTACATAAATACTTCGGGTTTCAAAACTTTTGTAAATTATTAGGTTAATATAAAGCTGAATAAACTGACGTCTTAACAAATGCTATCAATATTATGCAAAAATATATTTTGAATTAAAAATATAATTTTCAGTCATATTTAATAAAAATAGTGTTTTAATGTAGAACATACATTGGAAAATAACATATTAAAAATTTAGAGTATTACGGGCATTATGAGTTTTTGTTTTATGACTTTACAAACTTTAAATGAGTTTTTCTCAGACTTTTAATTTTGAAGGTATAAGTGTTTTCTAATCCCTAAGGCTTTTTGCTTGTTCAAGATAGAGCCTTGAATTTTTTTATATACTCCCAAATGTATGTTCTATAAAAGTTAGTATGGATTTAGGGCAGAGAGAACTGTAGTCATTTTTCAAAAAAATGCTAAATTTGATATTTTAAAAGTTTTCGTGTTTTTTCCAGGTTTTTCTAGAAAAATAATTATTAAAAATCAACAAGGCAATAGATTTTTAAATACATACTAAATATGGTTTGTAATATTCTTAGAATCATAAATAACTTAAAATTACTAATTTTTTTTTAAAAATTGAGTATTTTATAAAAGTTTGAAAAAACTTCAAAAATTCCTAATTTTTTAAAATTGTGAAATAATGGCTGGTCAAACTGACTTTTTGCTTTCAGAATCAGCTTAATAATATAATCTAAATATAAAACATCAATTATTTTTACTGTAACTGTCTCCAAATATTTTTTTGAAAAAGGGTACCGTGTAGCCTTAACGAGATTGAATTACATACATATCAAATATCAAGCACAATGTAGAAAACTTTATTTAATCGCAAATATTTTAATTATGTTCATCTAATTTATTTCGATTTTAATTAATATTACATTTAATGGAATCACGCATGTTTGGAATTGTGTGTTTTAAATGAAATGTGCATTATAGCTAACATAATGCGTGCAAGATCAAATTGCTTATTTAAAAGAAATGTAATGTTTTTTTAAAAATTCACTTTTTTATCTGGATTTTAATGCAATCTAGTTGTGAATAACTCCTGATATCTTAAAATTTGTCTTTTCTACATGACCTAGTTATAAGTAACAAACAATACGGGAAAATGTCAAATAAATATATTTTCCCATATGTAATTTGTCCATATTAAGAGTTAAGGTACTTAGAGACCCCGAAATAGAAATTATATAATTGAATATAAACTTAATGAAAACATTTAAAAATCATTTCTGAACAAGAAACATTTTATTATTTAAAGTTCTATATATATATATATATATATATATATATATATATATATATATATATATATATATATATGTTTATATATATATATGTATATATATATATATATGTATATATATATATGTATATATATATGTATATATGTATATATATATACATATATATATATACATATATATACACATATATACACATATATACACACATATATATATCTACACACATATATACACATATATATATATACACATATATACACACATATATATACACATATATACACACATATATGCACATATATATATATACACATATATATATACACATATATACACACACATATATATATATATATATATATATATATATATATATATATATATATATATATATTTAAATATATAAAATCAATCATCACATCAATCAATCACAATAATCAATTGAAAAATTGAAATATACGAATCTTATAATACTAAATTATAAATCCAATGTGTTCGTTTGGATTGACATGGCATTAGTAGGTGTTATGAGCAAAATATGGGTGTGGTGATTGATATAATAAATATGAGAAGTCGTTCCATTGATATTGATTGAA